ATTAGAAGTAAGGAATTTGACTGAGAAGCAGCCATCCCTACTCCAGGATCAACTCCTTCATCTTCACTATTAATATCTATAGACTGCTCCTGTAATATCTGCAATAGCTGCAGCACTCCATCTATTTCCCAATCGAACAAATCTCTTCTAAACTGAGGATTCCATGCCACTTTACTGTTAGACAAAACATAGGACTCTGCCACAGATATTTCCTGGTTAGCTGCACATTTGTAAAGAAGGGGAAAAGCCTCTGTTAAAGGTTTGTCCAAACACCAGGGATCTTTCCAAAATTTCAGCCTACCACCATTTCCAAAATTCCTTCCTTATTTCTTTCACTCTCATGGTCCTAGAATTTCTTTCCTCCCATAAAGTCCAGCATATAGCAGCCCTCATAAACCTCCACATAATCCATCCCCATAAAGTCCAACATCTGCCTGACCATGAATGCTCAAAATTACCTTAGCCCACAACTTATCCCTCTCTTCTCCAAACCTCCACAACCATTTTCCCAACAAGGCTTCATTCTTCTTTCGAATGTTTCCTAATGCTAGACCCCCATCAACCTTACTTTTGGAGACTATTTCCCAGTTCACCCTCGAAGACTTCAAAACTTGAACTGATAAGCATGGAAGAATTCAAAATTTTATCTAATCAACACATATTGAGTATGTTGATTTTCTATGTTTCAATCAACATCTTATTCTTCTTAATTCACTCTATTTTCTGATTTTTTTTTCTTTCTTCTATCTTTTTCATGAATATGTTGATTTTCTATGTTTCAAATGAAGCTTATACATTTTTATGAAGATTATAAACAATTAATAGCGAAAGATGGTTGCTACTTGCTATTGAAACCTAAGGAATTACCCTAGGATTCATGTTTTGTTTTTTGAAAAAAAAAAAAAACATCACCTAGGTGACTGGGTTACAATTAATAGTGAAAGATGGGTTTTATTTAAAAAAAAAAAAGAACCATCACCTAGCCTCATCTCAACGCCTTGAAAACTTTGCATTTGGGATCTATTCCCATACTTTGACTATCAAGAAATACAAAGATGGCTTTACATATGGAGTAATGAGTTTGCATGGTCACAACACTTCCTTTTGACCCTCCAATCAAAAACATACTACCAACCAAATCACCTAGTTGCCTAGGTGATTTGGTTTCAATGTTCTCATATGGTCACAACACTTACTTGTGACCCTCTAATAAAACACAAGATATTCTATTAATGAAATGGAAAACCAAATAAATTATCCAGTGAGTGCATCCTGTTGTTGCTACCCTAAATGACACACAAACAACCCGCTAAGATATATGAAGAAATAGCTTAACATGTTGAATGATGAGTTCACACAACCACAACACTTTCATGCAACCCTCAAATGAAACACAAGCATGCAATCAATCAAATGAAAAACTAAATCACTGGATGAGTGCATGCCTAGGTAATTTGGTTTCGATGAGTTTCACATGGTCACAAAACTTTCTTGCAGCCCTACTATAGAACACAAACATGCTAATAATCAAGTGAAAAATCAAATCACCCAATGAATGCATGTCTATTTCTTATCCCGAATGATGCAAAAATAACCCACCAACATATGAAAAAAGTAGAGACTACCTTTAAGGTACTATGACAATCAAGAAATGCCAAGGTAGCCTAACATGTGTCGTGATGTGTTCACATAGTCACAATACTTTCTTGTGACTTTTCAATGAAACACTAACTTGCTATCAATCAAAGGAAAGGAACTTAAGATTTCTTTGAGGAAAGAGAAAGAAATAAGGAGGCAATATTGGAGACTGTTACATAAGAGTTGCACGCTGTGTGAAAACATTGAAATTATTCTCAGATTTCTCAATGGTAGACTTATTTTGAGACTGGAGGTTGGTTGCCCTTTCTTCCTGTAGGAAACAAAAGATCCTGCAGGCTTGGTGTCCCTCAAGCGGTGGGTGGATGAAGCTGAGCTTTGATGGAAGTAGTTTTGGCAATTCAGGGCCTTGCAGAATTGGTGGAGTGATTAGAGATGAGAATGGGAACATTTGTGGTTTGTTTTCAGGGCCTATTGATCAGGGTGATTCAGTGAGAGCTGAATTCATGGCTGCTATTGCTGGGGTGCAAAAAGTTAAGGATATGAGAATTACAAGGTTGATTGTTGAAGGGGACTCGAAAATAGTTTGGTAGGTGGAAAAAAGAAGGGGGATTATGGCAATTCAGAAACGAATTCAGGAGGTTCAAGTTGCTGTCAAGACAATTGCGAATTCATGTAAGATGGATTAGGAGGTCTGCTAATGGTTTGGCAGACAGATTAGATAAGCAAGGAATATATAGACATCATTTGGTTTGGGTTCAATTTTAAAAGGGTAGAGGGTCTTTTTGTTGTAAAGGGTTGTTCTCCTAACAACTTCTTGTTGTATTCTCTTTTTCTTAAAGTCTTAATAAAATTTCTTGAGTTGCTGATAAGAAAAAAAAGACAAGAAAAACCAAATCACCTAGTGAGTGCTTACCTGGGTGATTCTTGTAACCCTCCAATAAGTCACAGACATACTAATATTCAAATTTAAAACCAAATCACCTTGTGAGTGCATGCCTAGGTGATTTGGTTTTGATTAGTCCATATGGTGACCACACTTTCTTGCAACCCTCCAATAAAACATAGACTTTCTATTAATCAAATGAAAGACAAAATTACCCAATGAGAGCATACTTGTTGTTTCTACCCCAAGTGATACATGAACTATCATGTGATAAAATGGAGACTACCTCTAGGATTTACTACCTTACTAGGAATATTAAAAAATACAAAGGTAAGGTAACATGTGGAGCAATGAGTCACATTCATAACATTTTGTTGTGGCCTTTAAAAAAACCCAAACATGCTATAAGTCAATAGATAAACCAAATCACCCAGTGAGTGCATACCTGGGTGATGTAGTTTTCATGAGTTTACATAGTGACAACAATTTCTTGCAGCCTTTCAATAAAACATAAATATGCTGCTATCAATCAAATGAAGAACCAAATAACCCAATGAAGGCATGTCTGCTGTTGCTAAACCAAATGATACAAGAACAACCTACTATCATATAAAATAGAGACTACCTCTAGAATATACTACCTAACTATGACATTCAAGTAATATCAAGGTAGCTTAACATGTAGAGCGACACCTAGGCAAGGTTTAAAATTTTGATACAAGACGCCCAAGGTTTAAATTTGAAGATTTTTCAAATTTTGAAAAAATATGGCAAAAATAGGTGAGTTTTTTCAATTTATTATAATATCTTGTGATTTCTTTTTTTTCTTGAATGTTTAAATTTATGATCTACATTTCTTACATTCAAAATCACAATTTTTTTGTGTTAATAGTAGATTTATGGAAATTTCATGAAGATATTTAGAGAAAATATAAATTAACAAAAAAAAAGAAAATGCAATTTTTTCTCTGCCTATAAAGACTAAATATGTTTTAGATCTATGGATTTATCTATCATATCCATAGAGCAATTGAAAATTCTTCTTTAATATTTTTTTGATTTTTTATATTTTTAGAATTAAAAAATAAATAATAATTAATTATATTTTATCATTTGATCACAACAATTGAATATATTATAATTCTATTGATGATCTATCATATCCACAGAATTGAAATTTCTTCCTTAATAATTATTTTTTATTTTTATATATTTAGAATTAAAAAATAATTAATTAATTAATTATATTTTATCATTTGATCACAATGATTGAATATATTATAATTCTATGGATGATCTATCATATCCACAAAGCAATTGAAATTTCTTCTTTAATAACTATTTTTTGAATATATTATATAATGTTTATTTATTTTTTATATTTTTTTGGAAATAAATAATTATTTATTATATTTTCACTTAGAAGTTGTTCCAATGCATTTTTTATGGTTGGATAGGAGATTTGGGTTTTTCCCATCCCATAAAACATTGAAACTTAAGAATTATAATTTATAAACTATAGTTAAGCATAGGATTTTCAATGAAATTATAATTAACTACAATATATTTCTTCATAAAACCATTAGAATACATTAGTTTATATTGTTTTCAAGCGTATTTCTTCATTGAGGTCTTATATTTAGTGTTATTGATGTATTTTTATGATTTATTAAAGTATTTATATTGTTTCCAAGCGTATCTTAGTTTTTCTCCGATACACATGCATATCCAAGGCATATCCCGATACGTCGCTTAAAATTGCCTTTCCGATACACTTGGTGTTTCTGATACTTTGAACCTTGCACCTAGGTGATAAGGTGCTCATGGACAGTCGTCTCACTTAATTGCCAAGATATTTTTTACACAGTACTCTTAGATGCTTTTATACTAACTTTCTAAGATTATAATAAATAAGCAGACATTATTAAACCAAATTATTAGTTTGAATTAAACTACTAATTTCTTTTTATGATTTTTCTTATTCTTACGGTTTAATCAAATGTATATTGTCTTGAACCGTTGAAGACTTCAAAACCTGAACTAGCAAGGAAGCACTCAACATTTTGTCCAATCAACACATATTGTCCAGTCAACTCAAAATTTGTTGAAGATTTCTTTTCCATCTTCTTCCTAGGGAAAAAAGGGAGGCTCAGCCCCTCTATTTTCTGAAATTTCTTTTCTTCCTTCCATTTTTTCATAAGTTGATTTTCTTTGTTTTAAATGAATTTTATACATTGCTATGAAGATATAGACAATTAATAGTGAAAGATTGTTGCTACTTGCTATGGAACCTAGGGTAGGATTCATGGTTTTTATATTAAAAAAATCCCATTGCCCAGGCAATGCCTAGGTGACTAGGCAACAAGCCCCCCCCCCCCCCTTGCCTAGCCTCACCTCAGTGCCTTGAAAATTATGGAAACTGGGTTCCTCAGGTCTTGTCATTTGGAACTGTCAAAATGGTTTTTTTCTCCACCTTGTGTCCGTTTCTGCCTGAGGTAACATTTAGATTTCTTTCCAGGAAATAATGATGGTGGGCGAATGGTGTTGGGTCAGACGTTTACAATTGGTAATGCATTTTTAATAGTTCAATTGTATTTGCTTATATTCTTTCTCATTATGCTTGTTTCCAGCTGTCATTCTTGATATGGCTTATTTTCATGGAAGTAATTTCTTATCCTTCATAAGAGAAATTTTCTCCATGTTGCACACTGATACACATGTCTCACTGCTTTCTTCAACAAACAGGAAACAATTGCAATAGTAGGCAGATTGAATGGAATTTGATGTAAGAAAAGACAAAGGTTGGCTTTAGTGTATTAAAAAATGCCTCTGATATTATAGAAACTTTCAACAATAAATTTGGAATATTGATGGTATAGTTCATGTAGTAAGATGAAAAGTGGTTGTACACTGTTGTAACATGATTGCCCAGTATAAATGGGTCAGAGTCTTAGTGGAACTGCACAAGGGGACTGGATTTGGTTATGTAAGCACAAATAGAATAAGAGTTTTTAATTGGTAACGGAAACTTTGTTGATTAATTATATAATAAATGATGTACAAAAGGGTCAAGAAAACCTTCTATCATATGGTAGCTCTTTTACATACATGTTAGAAAAAGAAACCAATATAAAAAATACATTGTCTCACTAATTCTTCCCACTTGACATCAGAAGTCATGCTTATATCCTTCTTCTCTGTGCTCAAAAGTCCAATCCATGATAGAAAAAAAGCTTATATCCTTTCAAGTTCTGCACAACGGCCTTGACTTAGAAAATCCTATGGTGCAAAGGTGATGATCCTCCATAAATTGTTCCTTTCAAGTTGAAAGAAATAGCTGGCCAAGATGCTGATCAAAAAGAGAGAGAGAAATAGCTGGCCAAGATTGTAAAATCTATGCATGCAGTTTGGAACCCTTCCATCCACCAAAAAAAAGAGGAAGAGACCTAAAACTTTTGTTCAGACATTATATTGCACAAGCAAATGATTAGCATCTTCTTCTTCCTCCACACATAAGGTTCACTTTTTAGCAAGATCTATGTTCTGAGACTTCAATTCGCCTCAAGTGATGGTCTTTCAGTCACTGCTAATGAAGTGGAAATGTCCACTCTAGTAGGAGTCAAGTTGACCCAAATTAGATTGTTGTAGGAGTTAACTGACAAATGTCATTTGGGCCTATCATTTTTTTAGTAGACTCATTTGGGAATAGTGAAACAGAAAGGAATGGCAAAACAGGATTCATGTAGCATTTATCCAAAAAAAAAAAAGGATTCATGTAGCCAATCTCATATAGTTGGGACAAGGCTTAGATGATGATGATGATGATTAGGAATGGCAACGGGGCGGGGATCATATTCCCCGTACCCAACCCCGATTCTGAAATTAACTCCCATCCCCGTCCCCGATCCCCTTTGGGGATAAATTTTTTCCTCTATCCCTGATCCCCAACGGGGACCCAAATCCCCAAAAGTTTTTTAGATAACAATATTTTTTTTGAAAAATAAATTTACTTAAAATAAATAAAAAATGTAAATTATAAATAATGGTTTTAATATGTTTATATATATATATATAATCGGAGTAGGGGCAGGTGGGGACCTCAATCCCCATCCCCGTCCCTTCTCATCCAAAACAATTCCCATCCCCAACCCGATGGGGTCGGGGAAGCCAGGTCTCCGTCAGGGATGGGGAAAATTGCTATCCCTAATGATGATGATGGTTTAGGACTCAGTCCACTCTCTTTGATCTTCATATTCTGGCTGAATTAGTTAAACATCTAAGCTCTGCAATAGCCTCATTTATTCCCTCTTACTCCCAATCCAGCAAAGGCCTATGTTGCCCAGATTTTATTTACACTAGAGGTTGAAGTATCCGAAACAACACAGCAACCTTTTACAGGTGTCAAGTATCATAGATCAAGGGTAATTAGGTAAATATGGCATAGCCTTCCCATTGAGCACCTAGCATCTTTCCAGTATCTGATCCTGTTACCAACCTCCACTTCAAATGTGCATCTCAAAATAAAATCTGAAACACTCTTTTTGTTTCCCTTCAACTTCAATGCACTTTCATACCATAAGTAGAAGTCAAAGGCAGGGGAATCTTAAAATAACTTGAAAGTTACATTTCTTGTAAAAAAGAATTGAATGTGTGAAATCACAAGGAAGCTAATTAGATTTCTTGACTTTGAGAAGTCTACAAAAACTATCCCATCTATATCTGCCATTCTGATCACAATGCTTAAGATGATTAATGAAATTGAACATATACTTCGGTTGAGATTAATCCATTCCATGCTTTTGTTTTCTGCATACAGGAATGGCCAAGAGAGTGTTAGAACTTCACAATCTTCTGGTTCTCCTGTATAACTTGTTTTACCATATTTCTGTGTACAGCAGAAAAGTGCTTGTTTCTGATATAGCTTACTAAGTATGACTTATACTAATGCCTCCTTAGTCCTTACATATTGCTTAAACATGAACCTTACTCTTTGCAGAACCGATGTTGACAATGGGTAGCATTAATCCCATTATGTGGTCTGATAACTGGACAGTTGTTACAGAAGATGGAAGTCTATCTGCACAATTTGAGCATACCATACTAATTACGGAAAATGGAGCTGAGATATTGACCCAATGTTAAAAAAAGGCATTACAAGTATTCATGGTTAAATTATCAAGGGCCCTGGAGTCTGTACCATAATTATATGATTACACAATCTGATTTTAGTTAATTTATTTCCCTAGAGACTAATCATTGTTAGGATTAGTGATTAATTGGTGTAAATTCTCCTTGGGCATAATTGAAAACTGTCTCATTATAATGTTCATTATTAACTATTTGTCCAACATTTGCACTATATTAACTATTATGTCTCATTATAATGTTCATTATTTCAATTTTACAGTATCTAGTAGTTTTCTTGTCCTCGTACAGTCATATTTGAAGAAAATGCTCTAAATTTACACCCATAGATAACATTATTTTTTTATGGGCCACCTGTAGACAACATATGAAATTCATATGTAATGGAATTCTGGATTGGTTGAAGTAAATTTACATAAATAATGATATATGTCAATCACTGGATAATGGTTATAATATACATCTGTTCTCTTGAGTCGTACCTCCATCACTAAGTTGTATTCTTTGCTTGGCTGTCTTGCATGCGGATGCTAAGTAGAGCTTCCTGTGGAGGCGTGGTACCTGTTAACAGCTCTTTGCATTATCCTTTAGCTTTAAGTCCTTTGATTTTTTTTCTTGTAATCCTTCATGAGAAGTTAATTCACAAGCGTAACTATGTTGTGAGCAATTGCTCGCAAACCAGCGGCCCTATCTTGATCAGCGCACGAGTCAGGAGCCCAGGCTTGAAAATCCTATTGAAGGTTATATATCAAATCGCTATACTATACACTCTTAAAAAGGAAGGAAACCGAACTGTTTCCTGCAAATTGATATTTTTGTGATGTTTAGTTTTGTGTAAGATAGCTGCCAAAAAACACTTAGAAAAACGAGTATTAATTATGGGAAAAGGACGTAGATAGTCAGCAAAATTTGAATAACTAGAGCCATAGCGTTCTACGTCAGCAGATAGTAATCCTCATCTCTCCGAGTTGGAATAGCGTGTCTGAAATGTTTTAGATGCCGAGAGAGAGAGAGAGAGAGCTTGGAATAAAAAGTTAAAAACAAACAAACCTCTCGGAAGCCATAAAAAATTAAAAAGTTAAAAACAAACCAACCTCTCGGAAGCCACGTGATCACTTTGGTTGATCCAGAAGAGATGTGCATGCATGTTGACTTTTGATGGCTAATTGATTTCCTTATTCTCGTGAAAATTGTGTATGTATAAATAAGAAAGAGCAAGCATGGTGCATCGGAAGGAAAAACCTCTAATTTCAGAGATGAGCAGTGCTGCAAACAAAACCAGAATTCTCACAATCGATGGCGGAGTAAGAGCCATCATCACAGCAGTTATTCTCTCCTTGGAGTCTCATGAGCTTCAAGTCAGTTCAGTTCAAACTTCCAAGTTCTAACTCATTTGATTGCAATACACGAAAATCGTGTATTACGAGTTTTCAACAATCAATTCTCTCTACTATTTTTTCAGTTTGATAATTCACAAATGGATATAGTAGTGTAGGTATTAATGTCTAAAGCAACATTTTGATGATCCTAAAAATCGAGTTCGACTTCTATCAGGGCAAGTTGGTGCTCACACCCTTCGAATAGCCCCTTGCAACCTTGCATTGGGAATATCTTCCATAAAATAAATCACATAACTATTGCTTTGCCCTGACTGAAGCCGGACTCCTAAAAATCAATTCTCTAACAATACCTAGCTATCAATTCTCAAGAGTCAAGCTCCTTTTTGGTTGAACTATTTATATATTAGTTAATTTACAAAAGGCTTCAATATATGTCTTATGGGCTATATATGTTTGTTTAGCCAAATTGCCTCAAATACTCCCACTCAAAATATTGAAGACTTTTCCACTTATTTTGTCAATGCAGTGCAAAAACATGCATACCCATTTATATATGAACATGAATTGGATACAAGTTTTATGCAAGTTTTCTGATGACGCTGCTGACAATCTTTTCTTACAGGTTCTTGATGGTGAGGATGCAAGGATTTCTGACTATTTGATGTAATTGCCGGTACAAGTACTGGGGGTTTAACTAGTGGCAGCCATGCTAACAATACCAAATCAAAACAACCGCCCTCTCTTTGCTGCAAATGAAATTGTGCCATTCTTTACTGAAAATTATCCTAAATTATTTCCTAGAATTAGGTAAGCCTTATTAATATATGTTTATTGCTCAGATAATTGTTTGTATTACATTTAATATTATTTATTAATGTTAGTTATTAGCTTTTAATGGATGGTATGTACAGAGGATATGCTTCATTGATTCTGAAGGATATGCTAGGACCAAAATGCAATGGAAAGTACTTTCACAATCTATAATACGAAACAAATTTAGAGCTGCAAGGATCAGTCAAGCATTAACTAATTTTGTTATCCACAGTTTTGACATTAACCTACTTGACCCAACAATCTTCTCTGCATCTGAGGTCAGATTCATCAGCCAATAACCCCCATTATGGTACATTCATTAATGACAGTCCTAGCTAGGTATAGTATCTTCTGCAGTAATAGTATTAAGCTTCATGCATGGAACAAGCAATCTGATCAGTATTTCACAGCTCTTATTTACATGAACTCGTTTAGCATCTACTAATGGATGAATGACGCACAGGGTTACAGATCAAGAATTATAAGAACTCAATTAGAATGGAAGAAACTTGTGAAAGCTCTCTGAACCTTTTTTTGTTCTTCTTTTCCTCGTTATTTCTCTCTAGGGGAAAGAGAAAATCTCCAAGGATGCCATGGTGTCAGATATTTGCATAGGAGCTACAGCAACACCAACATATCTACCCCCTTATTATTTTGAAACCCATGATTCCCAAGGCAATTGCAGGGTTTTTAATCTTGTGGACGGTGCAGTAGCAGCTAATAATCCAGTAAATTTCTCTCTCTCTCTCTTGTGCACTACTTTAAGGCATTGTTGGTGATGAGTCATGTGACTCAGGTGCTGTTCAAAGAAAACCCTGAGTTATACCCTGTGAAGCCTGCAAATTAACTATGGAAAGTTCTAGGTCATCCCATTTTTACCTTTGTTGTTTCATATATATATATAGAGAGAGAGAGAGATCACATTGGCACTCCAGAGTGCACCCTACAGCCCTCCTAACTGTGTATTAGAACATCTCCCAATGACAAGTATGGGAGATGTTCCCAATGCACGCTGAAATGTGCATGTAGGGCACCTGTGGGTTGCGCTTTGTAAGGCGCTGGTGTGAATTTAATTAAGAGCATGCTTTTGTGAGCGGTGCTTTTTTATGTTTTATTTTTTCTTTTCAAAATCGGTTCAAAGGGCGGGTCGGTTTAAGTCTCGGTTACCCTCTGAATCATGGTCTAACCCAATACAATCCCTATAGGGGCATATATCAGAAAACCATCGACACGATACGGGCCGATACATATTGGTACTTTAAACATTGACTTCACCTTAAATCCACAACTCAATCAATCATGTTAAAATCTGTTTATTTTTATTAATTCATATTTCACTGTCTTTTTATTTAATAAAATATATTTTTTTCATTTAATCCAGTTTTGCTTTTTATTAAATATAGATTTTTAACAGAACTTTCTGTACAACTATGTACAATAATGGGACGGCAAATACAGACCATTCATGAAATGGGTAGCCCTCTATATTTCTCTTTAAGTAATACCAGCTTAATGAACCATTAAGTTATTCCGATGCTGCTTAATGAAGTTCCTAGAGCTTAAATGAATTTTAACAACATTTGTGTTAGAAATCGTTCATGTAATAAACTTGATGCTAGAGGTGATCACGGCCAGGCTTAGCACCTACGATAAGCGCTATAATCCTTTCCAAACTCATCAAATATTTAATATATGCAATTATTTATATAAATATAAAATATTATATGTATAATTTGTGAAAAATTGTCTCATTAATTGTTCACTTACTACAGCTTTCTATAAATTTTTCTACCTTTCCCTACTTTATTTTCTCAGACCAAACACATTGCACTAGCCATTATACTTTGAGAGATTACGGTCAAATGCTTATATTGTGCACTTCTTTTACAAATAATTCCTTGATCAGAATAATTGTGTACATAAATATATAGGCGTACAAATTCCCATGAATTGGGGTATAAATATATGTGACACACAAATTCTATGTATCTCCTTGATAGGAGTCCATAAAGAATTAGGCTTTGGGACGACCAATCACACCAGTCATAAAGTGCATACGGCCCATAATAATTCAATCTCTTCTTCCAGTCAAATCCAATTTTTCTAATAAATTTAATGCAAATTCACAAAATAAGAATTGATAAAAATGAACAAATAAAAATGTCTACCATGAGACAATTCAAAAATGAGGTTTCTTTTGATTCTTTTGGTGGATAGATAATATGGGAACATTATGATATCAGAGCCTGTTTAATTAAGTGGTAGATTTGTGCTTATTCGCGCTTCAAATCCAATATATTTGTGCATGTTAGAGATTAAAACCCTATTAAGGGACCTCACCTACAGTTTAAACTTTTAGGTTGAACAGTTACTTGAGAGAATTCTTTTGATTCACCAGTAGAAATTGCTACTTCTACATGAAACAATATAACTCAAATTATCTGAACATAATCGATGGCATATAGCAAGCAGTGGAACCAACAATAACGCAATGCATTCAGCTAATAATCTGATCTTGAATTAATATGGGTTCAATGTCTTTTCTTAATAGTAAATTTGTTCAATGCCTTTTCCATGGCAATGACAATTCTATTTTTTAATCAAGGTGCAAATGGGTAGAATAAAAAAATAGAATAAACATGCAGTGGGTATTTTTAGCATTTAACAAATAACATTTTACTATTGTTCAATTGATAGAATCAGTAATGCAATGTTAGATTTTAGTAAAAAAAAAAATTGTATAAATAAGGATAGTATTTTTTTTAGGGATGATAGCTAGGTTGCGTTTGGAGACGATGCAAATGGAACGTAAATCCCGGTTCAGGGTAAATTTGCACTCTGGTTCACTTTTGACTGTGTTTGGCAACATTACATTTATGTATTAATAAATGATAGAAAACACATTTTCTAATGTATATTTACACCAATAATGAGATATAAAAGTACATCAATAAAAAAATAAGTAAATTTGCATTCAAGTGGTTTTTTTACTAAAAAAAGGCATATGCTTTATTGGGATTCGTGTTTGCATCCATTATAGCTAAAAATAGATTTAGTAAGAAAATAAATTTATCAATGCAAAACTAACCCAACTTTACAATTTATATAGACCATTTTACACTCTACATATTTACATTTACATATATTTGTATCATTTCCAAACGCAGCTTTAAGTATAGATGGAGAGGAGTTATAGTAAATTTTATAAAAAAGAAATATAGCATTTTGTTGATGCCCTGTATTTATTGGTTGTATTTGCATTTCATTGAGAGGTCACAAGTAGTTGTTTCAACCACCTTCACAGTACTTTGATGTTGATCATTGACCTGCATTGAACTGAAACTTGGCCTCAATTTGACCTGACTAGACCCAACCTGCATCCTTTGAATCTCTCCCATGTCCCATCCTTTAGTAAAGATCAACATTTTGCAATGTCCCCCTCCTATCATCATCATCTAAGCATTATCTCAACCATATGGCGCCCCTCTACATAAATCCTATTTTATCATTTCATTTCATTCAATGATCCTTCCATGAAACATTTTGCAATCTTAATCATCTTATATTTTGGATTTTGTGTGAATCATAAAAATTAAATCCAAATACTATATATAATTAAAACTTACATAGGTTTATATGTTCTCTTACACTAGTGTAAGAAAGGTGCCGATGATAAGGTCTTTAGTGTTTTTTTTTTTTTTTTTTGCCTTTTTGTATCTTTGGCGAGAGAGAGTGTTAAGGGTGACTTTGAATCTACCGACCACAAGACATTATTGACCACATTCATCCATAAGACACGTTACCTTATTTGAAAAAGAAAGACACGCTGCCTTAAAAATTGATAATCAATCAACTGATATCATTGAATTGGAACTTGAGGGAAAAAAATCAACTGGTGTCCAATCAAATTTATACAAATTCACGTAGGTTTGTGATTGGTACTACCATACCTTTCTAGTGGTACCTATATCTAAAAGTTGCATGTGGCTTGGCCATTTTCATATTTTATTTAACATTAAATACATTCTTTTACCATTATCACTCAAACAAAAATGCTCTAGTTGACTCTACATTTAGGATCTATTTGATTCGTAGTTCAAATTAAAATCAAAATTGGAATCGAAATCTTTTGAAATTAGAATTGGAATGGTCCATTTTTATAGTCTGTTTGGTTCAAACAGGAATAGGAATGAGAATTAAAATTAGCAGGAATAAAATCTCATTCCCAAAGGAGGGGCACAAAATGGCCATTCTCTCAAACGGGGGAATACCATTCTTGTAGGAATGAGAATGGGATTCCAATTCCGTCCAACCAAACAATTTTAATCAGAATAGCCCATTTCGATTCTGATTCTAGACCCCTATTCCAACAAACCAAACGGACCAATATTTTCCTTCCTACCATTATAAACATTACAAGTGAACGCATTGGCTCCCCTTGTAGGCGCATAGCCCCTCACGCGTTCCACGTATCCCAAACCATGCACTGAGAAGGGAGAACATCATCCCATGGGTCATCTTACACTGCACATTTCATGTATAGCAAGTCCCACTTTTATGATGGGCCCAGTCTCAAATTAAGATAAACAGTGTGAGATGATATTGGTAGAGGATTGAAACGTATTTTATTGACAAAAAATTCCGATTTCAGAGAAACACCATGCATTTAACATCTCAACCGTAGGCTAACATTTTTTTTTTAATTTTATTTTAAGAAAAAGGGAAAATTTCCTATCAATAGTTTCCGGTACTTTGACTCAAGTGATAATTTGATTCTCAAACTTTAAAATAAGATAATCCAATATCAGAACTTTAAAAAATTAAATAGCATATAAAAAGACACAAATGCCCATCCATCAATGGCACCCCTCGCTATTTCATCAAATCCCAGTCCTCAACATTTTAATAACTCAACCAAAGAAGATAAATTACTCAGCACCGGTGTTACTGGGGACCTCTATTCTCTTCGAGGTGCTGAAGCACTTGAACGCGCGGTCGCTTGCCATCGCGTCTTGTGTTAGCAAACAGTGGCAATTAACAGCTCTGGTAAGTGGTAACCGCTGAAATAGCTGTGGCAATCAACAGCTGCCATGAAATAAAAGAATAACAACACTGGGCTTTATCGTTTTTTTAATTCTTTTATTCATGCACTGGACGAGCATCGGCTACGACAATCAACAGCTTCGTTCCGTGGTTCTTGCTCTCGGAGGTTTTCGTCGCCTCCATTCTCACTGCCTTGGGCCCCTCTTAAAACCACCTCTATCACTGTCGCTGTCTTCATGGGCCGCGTCATGGTCATCGTCTACTCCCTCTCTCGTCTCCGTTTCCGGCTCATCAAAAACACCAATTCATTGGGGAAAAGACGAGGTTCAAATCTCATGTTGATAATAGAGGCAGATGAAAACGCTTTCTGCTCTGCTCATCACCTTAAATTTCCTTTATATTTTCTTTACACGCATCTCTGTAATGCATAGTAATACTCTCGCAATATTTTTTTTTTTTGAGTTTTTTTCCTTTTTATTATTAACTTCCAAATATCTAACAAACGATGGTGTTGGTGAAAAGAAAATTACTTTTTCGGGTGTTTACCTGTAGATGAATATAAGAAATTGTAGGGTTCTTCGTTGGGCAACTTTAATTTGGGCCCTAATATTAATAAAAGTAATATATTTAATAAAATTTTAAAAATATTTTTTTTAAAAAATAATATAAAAAAGGGCAAAGTTATTGTTCTTCTTATAACAGAACCGCTTGTCGCCGCCTCCGATACGTCTCCGATTGTCGTTTCCGCCTCCGGTTATCGTTTCCAACGATCGAGAAAATGTCGCTGATAATCGGACACCGGCAAGTAAAACAGATCGGATTACCCTAAACCCTTCACTTAAGTAACTCATTGCCCTAAACTCCGGCTGTCTCTCCAAGGACATGGGTTGGGTCCATGGATACATGACTCCTTTATTGGAATGGAGACGGAAAGTCTTCTCCGACACCCCTTCCAGTACCCCACGCGATCCCCCCACAAGTGTAGAAGATGGAAATGAGTGACGATGAATCCTTTCCATTTCCATTGCATCTATTAATGGCTCTTGTGATCTTTGGACACAGAAAAATACCATTACCAAAGTCAAAACAAYGATCCCACTCAACAATATAGATGATATCACTTTTATCGGTCTCTGGCTAGGCACCAGAGTTCCTCTTGTTCAACTTCATTGTGCAGAGGATTGTAAGGGTATGACACAGCATGTTCGAGGTCGGGACAGATCCGGAAGGGATCGGTGTACATGGTGATGCTGGACATCATGACGGTGACGATGACAGTGACGGCAATACTGATGGTGATATTAGAGAATGTGTCAAATAAGGAGATGGTCCGCAGATCCTCATTCGTCGTTTGATGCATCCATCTTTTCCTGAGACTATGTCTATTGGTGAGCTCTGGTTGGTTAATTTTCGTGCTTGATTGGAACCGAGAGAGACACTGAGTGTGTGTTCCGATGCTCGGAGCATGTTTGAGTTATCGGGTTTTTTCTCGACCATCAGAGACGATAACCAGAGGCAGAAACAATAGTTGGAGACATGCCGGAGGCGGCGACGGACGATTCTGCTACAAGATGAACACTAAATTTATCCATTTTTTATATTATTTTTAAAAAATAAGTTAATTTTGAAAATTAATTTAGAGCCCAAAAGTTGCCCTTCTCTGATATAACCCTTTTTATCTTCTTGATGAAGAAAATGATAACAGTGTATTTTATTTTAAAGGATAATTTTGATATTTTTTAAAAGTCTTAAATCGTATATAAGATCACGTGTTATGACGGTCCGTTAAGGCAGGTATTTGATTATCTCGTTTCCAAAACTCAGATACTGGATTGTAAGATTTTAAAATTCGAGGACCAAATAAATAATCATTCGAGCCAAATACAGAATACTGATCGGAAATTTTCTGTTGTTTGCAAATTTGCCCGAAATGAAATCCCACGGCCACGATAAAATGACATTACGCTTCAAACGTTAGCTTTTCAGGCGGTAGGTGTCCTGACTCCTGACTCGAGTCCTGACTTCCTGAGGCGCAGCACTGTCTAGCGTCTGTGTCTCGCCTCTCCTGTCCTGTGTAGTGTGTCCTCTCTCGTTTCTCCCACGCTCCTTTTCTTTGGACACAAAAAAGCAAACAAAGCGTGTTCGCTTTCAAGCCTCTATCACTCCGGCCGACACCGTAAATATTTGGAAGGAATTCCAAAGTTCTTTCCGCGTTGGGAGATGCAGAGGAAGTGAGAATGTGATGAATAGGAAAGCCAAGAAGAGGGAGAGATGGCGAGGGTAGAATTGGGATACCCAGCAAGAGGAAAGTKGTGGTGTTCTTATAAGAGAACCACTGCCGTTATATGTTCCATTAACATTGTTGCAGCTCTCTACGTTCTCCACTCTCTATCTACCTCGCTTTATATATTCAATAATGCCTCACCCAGTGGTAAGTCTGTTGAAATTGGATTGACCTGACGACACCCATGTCACTTTAGCTATTTTTGTGCTTTCCGGGTTAATATTGAATTTTTTTTTGAATAGCCCATTTGAGATTTCTGCTTTTCTGGGCTAATTCTCTCTTAACTGTGAAAAATCACATTTTGTGATTTCTGTTGTATTCCGCTTTTTTTTTTTTGTTTATTTTTTGGTGCTTGTTTGATGAAAGGAGCTCCCTGTTTTCAGCTTTTAAATACAGTCAAGATCAGATTTGGAAAATGGAAGATTCAATTCGTATTCGGAAGGCGTCGGAACCCATAGAGCTTGTTAGATCGGTAAGACCTACATTTTGGTTCGCGGATTTTTTTTGGCTGTTGTTTTATTTAGGTGATTTGGAAGATTGAAGGAGTTAAGTGTTATTTTTTTATTTCATTATTGATATTGATTTGCTGAGGTGTTTGTTGTCTGTGGATAAAAGGTTAAGGAAATGAAGGAGGAATTTTCCAGAGAGAAAAGTGCAGTCGAAATATCCCACTCCATGAAGCAGAAGATAACCCATGAGATTCTACAGAGGTTGAAAGGGCTTAATTCTAATGCAAATGTGAGTGAACAGCAAGGTGCGTGTGATTTGATCTCTCTCTCTCTCTCTCTCTCTCTCTCTCTCTCTTTTAAGTTTCTCCACTGTTATGCAGTTTATTTTCCCCTCATGGCAAATTGTAGTTTTTTTGTTTGGGACTTTCTTTTTAATTGGGAAGTGTTATAGCTTAATTAACTAATCAACTAAAATGCTTCTTTATTTACGAGAGAGTAAATTGCTGCCAACACTGCATGTCTCCGTAGTTTCCTGCTCATATTCCTCTTACATCATTTGATCTTATTGGCTAGTCCGTCTAAAACCAAGTGAAAGCCTGATTATTATTTTCTATTGAGTAGAGTCAGCAAGCAAACATTTTAGAGAGGTGACTGTATGCTTTCTTTTATTCGTGCTATAAGATCCAAATCATCCAATAAGGTTCTTTATGGATAGCAGTTGAATCTTTCTTGGACAGATGCAGTACTACTTATTGCCATTTTTTTTAGTGGACTAGACGATAATATCCAATTGTCCGTCTTACTCCCAAGATCCCTAGACAAGTATAGTTCCCAAGTTTAGCTTTAATTTTTCTTCAGGGATAGAGGGCATTCATTCTGGAGTCGCCAGCACAGGAATAGGGGATAGATGCACAAGTTCCTTCCAATTACTCAAGAGGCCAGACATACTTATTCCTTTATAACTCCATGGAAGCGATACTTCCTCCTAATTCCCCTTGATAAGTGGAATGCCATGCATACTTATTCCTTTATCCCCGAAAGTATGCAATAAGGAGACATATACAACAGCTCTAGGCTGACAATACAAACATAACTAATCATGTCACTTTTGGTTGAGTAGGGTGTTAACCAGCCTTAGATAAATCCAAACAGCATGCTCACTCCCAAACATGTAACTGCCTAATGTGATGCATCTAGGTCCATGACACATAGAAACCATCTCTCATCTACCTAATAAACCACCTGGCGATCTTCCTCGACATCTAAGCATTCAAAACCCAAGGAAATGTAACACATGGTAATAATAACAAAATGTTTGTTTGAGTGAAATCTTATATACCAATTGGACCAGGTAAAACCAGGACTATCGCTCCTCCCTGCCGTGTAAATGTCTCAATGGCTGAGGGCCCTGGGTTGCCCATTGAGCAACCATCTATCAATATTCTAGTATGGAATGATCTAAGCAATGCTATTTTCATATTATTTGCTTATAGCTTATAGCTTATCCATGGGATTCATCATTTTGATTACCTTTTCTCCTAAATGCAATCCTCTTCCTCATGGTTACTCAGTAACCTTCTATGCAAGGCTTGGGTGGGGAGATACTTCAACTTCTTTAGTATCTACGTATCTACAGAATAACTGTTAAATATACAACCAGTTTCATAACAAATAGTATAGACTTTTATCATTTTCTAAAATATGAAGTATCTTCTGCAGTCTTTATCTCAAATGTTGAAGTTTTCCCTATGATGCATTTCATCTATCTATTTTGTTTCCGATCTTTGCAACCTAAAAGGTAAGTTGTCACTGAAGATTGGAAAATTTAAGCCGACTTGGTGACTAAGAGCAGTATTTCKATAAAATTCTTGTGTTACCTTGCTATTTTCTTCTGGGAAGAAGCCCCACAATCTGAGGGTCTGACATCCTGTCTTCTATCTTGCTTTCTTTTTGTTTATATTAAGTCCTTTCTAAAAGAGCCAAACTATTGTGCTACCCTACAAAATTATCCTCAAGGGAATTGAGTTCCTTTGTGTACCTAGGACCAATACATAGTACTAATGCTTCTATTTTGGCCTTGTTCGTTTTGACACTATATATTTACCTGGGTAAAGAGAGAGGAGATGAGAGGGAGAGAACATTTACCGACGCAGTGCAGTGAGGGGATAAGTTATTTACCCATGTCATGGGGAAATCAGATTTGGTCCTCACAAGACCGTTCTCACACCGGTCGCACAGTCCCTTGTAGCCATTGGGAATCTCTCCATGAAAAAAACCATACAAATACGGAGATATTCTCAATGACGGCAATAAAAGGCTGTGTGAACGGTGTGAGCATGGCCTTGTGAGCACTGAAGCCGATCTCTGTCACGGGAGGGTATCAGTTGCCCAAATAGCATGGGGCCTAGTATAGCAGAAAATGAATGCGACTAAGATGGTCAACTTATTGGTTGACCAACTTACCCCCCCCCCCCACACACCCACTAAATACTGGCAAACAAACGAGGCCTTTGTTCAAATTCTCCTCATCCTTTGGAGCTGAACAACATTGGTATACTGCTATATTTTTCTGGTTTTGTGCTTCACAGTTCCATATTTTAATCTATTTGATTGATGCCTGATTTTGATGAGCAGAGTCTGTGGAGCTCTGGCGAAAGGAAAAACTAGAAGAGGCCAAACAGTTGACAGTTCTAAAACCAACCATGAATTCAACCATTCAAGTCAAAGAAGCGAGTACAGATTCTTGCCTATTCTTCCATTACATCTTCATTTATTATTTTCATGAAAAATAAGGATCCAATACTTGTAGGATGCATTATAAGAATTCTTTATTGACTAGATTCCTAGTGCTTGGTATACCAAAGGATTATCATCACCATCATCTAAGCCTTGTCCCAACTCTCAACTATATGGGGTTGGCTGCATGAATCCTGTTTCACCACTCCGTTCTGTTTAGTGCCATATTCATTATCAGGATACATTATAGACCCCCTGAACTTTTGGATTCCAGCACTCTGCCCCTGCCGTTAGCATTCAGTTAGTTAACTTCATGGAAAATTCCTTTAAACATGCCTAAAACTCCAAACTGCCCTTGTGTTATTTTATGAAACCATTTTGCCCTTTTAACTTGGTCTTTATAAAATCCTAACTCTCACATGTTTCTCTCAACTTTCTTTCAACAAAGTTCATCCTGAAAATTTCTTGAGAATGATCAGTTCACCAATGCCTTGAAAACAATTTGTGCTTTAGAATGGTCATTTTCATCATTTTGATATTTGTTGCTGTCAGGCCATAGAATCTCAAATGAGCAATTTAATAATTTTACTTTTTCCGTCTATCCTGTTAGTGGGTCAGGGGGAAGTGCTGGAATCCAGAAGTTCCCAGGACAGGGTTGGGTGGTCTTTGTCACAAAACAAACTTATGGGGGCTAAGTGTTACCATCCCTAAACTTATGGGGGCTAAGTGTTACCATCCCTAAACTTATGGGGGCTAAGTGTTACCACCCCTAAGTACAGGGTAGCTATCTATAATTTGCTTTTATAATTGTTATTATTATTTGCAGAGAATCTAGTAAGAGCCTTGGAGTCTGGCTGGACTATGCTATTGGAAGAAATTGGCCTTTGGATGCCAGCTGAAATAACTAACAAGGAACATGATGACAAGGCAGAGGGTGATCAAGATCTCGGTAACAGAATAAAAGATCACTTTTTTAATCGTGTTAACCAAACTCTGAGTTTTTCCTTCTTATCTGTTTCCAGATCTCTACATATTAGTATTAAATTCCATCAGAAAACATTAGTCATTTTGATTGTGAAAAACATGGATGTGTTTTTTTGTAATGGACATTTTATTGTTTATGTCATAACGTTGAGCAGAATTTGATACCAATGTATCTTCTCTCCAGATGATGATATTCTACCTGGTCGGCAAGTTCCACCTGAATGCCATGCTGAACTTCATACTGATTATGGTGGGACTGCAGTTAGATGGGGTCTTACTCACCCAAAGGAGAGTGCTGCTGACTGTTGTCAGGCTTGCTTTGAACAGGCTAAACGTGCAAAACCAGGTCAAATGAAATGCAATATATGGGTTTACTGTCCATCTGAGACAGGGTGCTACTCACCAGATATTTATGAACACAAGAATCAGGAGTGCTGGCTTAAATATGTAAGGCTCAGCATAACTTTACCAAGTTGTTGTTTTTCAATTTTCATTATCCAATAAATTATCATGCATACTTGAAATTCAGCATTTCATTCAGTTCTTACAGTTACATAGATGAGATAGATATTTTTTAAGACTTTTTCTCAAAATAAGAGAGATTAACCAAGAAGTTTAAAAGAAATAAGAACGTAGAAAATACAAAGATTTGATGAGTATTGGGGGATAAATGAGAATTAAGAGAGAAACAATAGGGAAATGGGGAAATTTTGAAGTTTACATAAATTTTTATAGATTTTGCTCAGATTGTTGACTGTTAAGATTTCAATGAAACCTTCGGGATCTTTTTTTTTTTTTCATTTTAGGGCATGTTAAAAAGTACAAAGAATATTTAACTTAAATCTTTGACCTTGTCCAACCTGAGTGCATTCAGCAGCATGATCCCTGTTCCACCATTCAGCAAGGCATATCATCTCTTAAAGAAAGCTATTGTTTTCTTTTCTAACAAGAGAAGAAATTTGACTCTGAAATTAGCATGATCCCAGGAGGTCAGGACCACTTCTAAAATATCCCGCTAGTTGCACCAACTTACATCTTCATTTGGCTTGATGTGTTCAGAGATAGATTACATGGAATCATGCTGATGTAATCAAGGGCTAAATGACTAATTTCATGGATACCTATAATCATAGTTGTCAAGGCGACGCCTAGGCAACAAGGCGCCCTTGGAGGCTTGCCTCGCCCAGTCGCCAAGCAGTTTTGTGCACTGGGTTATAAAATACTTTTATATTTTTAATTTTTGACATTATAATTATAAAATAGACATTATTAAACTAGAATATTCATTTTGTGCTTATATACTAATTTATTTTTATTATTTTCTTATTTTGTTAGGGTTTAATCAACGCAAACATTGCTAACTGCTGTATTGAACCCATGGTTCAAAGTATCGATACACCTGTGTATTGGCAGAGGTGTATTGGTACTTATAACCATACTCCCCCTATTTTTTATTTCTTTGGTTTTCAATTTCATTTTTAAATATATATATATATATATATTATTT